TCTTATAGCAATTTGCTTTTATTTTATGCTTTTTAATGAAATAATATTCCATCTTATGTCTTGGCCTTCTGAAGGTGGAAAGTGAAGTACAGGATAACTTGCTCACATCTGTATAGGTCCTTAGCAGATCTCCCTTCCAAACCTTTCTAGTTCTTGGATATGTTCACAGCTTCTTTTTCATTTTAATGGGCTGCTGCAGTGGTGGAGAGCAGGCAGTAATCTTATCCAGAATTTTAATGCAAGGATTGGTTTTTTCCCCATTTCTTTTCTATTTTAGGTTTGAAAGCTCTTGGAATAGTATCTCCTTGTTCAACTGTACAAAAAAAAGTTTGGACTTTTTAACATTTTCCACTGTTGTAAATGAATAAGGTTACTGTGATAACTTCAAAAATCTGCAGAGCACCTGCCCGTATTTAAAAAGATAAGACCTCTAAATTGTTTTACCTTAACTATTGATGGAAACAATCCAAATACATACTCATTTCGGAAATGAAGAGGTTTGTTATTCCCATTACAGACATCTCCATGTTTAGTCCTCTTAAAACATTAGAATGTCAGCAAAAACAGTTTGTTCTCCAAGCGATACCTTTAGTAAAAAATTACATGGACTGGTTTGGAAGGCTGTTATAAGTCCTTCCAGATGACAACATAGGAAAATTATTTTGTCTTTTTTACTTCCATAAAGTTGCTCTTGAAGCAAAATTCCACACACCTTTTTTGAATTGCAAATGAAGGCCAATTCTGTTCATTTTGTGGTAGATTGCTCCTGGGGTACCAAATTTTACAATAAAAACAACCATGTGTGTCTTACCCATTCAACTGTTTTCTCCCTATTTTGTGTAAAATTAGAAATCTTAGAGGTACCCTTCTGACATTTCATTAAAAAGCATAAACCTTTGGGAGCTACAGTTCAAGTTTCCCCGCTTGCCATTGGCTTTGGAATCCAGCTTAATGGTGTCCTGAAAAGCCTAAATGAGAAATTGTGAGGAAGGCTCTTGATTCAAGAATTGGCATAACTGGATCCTCCTGGCTTGTTAAAGCTATCTGAGAGATGTTATATGGTTAAGATCATCCTGTGGTACTATTGAAAAAGAGCATGATTCTACTAGTCTTGAAGGATGTGATGGTATATTTCCTCCTTGGGAAGCCATTGCTTGAATTTAACAGCCCTGGACAATTTTCACCCAGTCTCCAACCTTCCTTTTCTAGGGAAGATTGTCAAGAACATGATATTCCTCTGCCAAGTTCTTCACACCAATCCCATCCCATCCAACTACATTTTTCATCTAATATTTATGCCAGCATCTTATGAAACATTGAACTAACCAGCCACAATTTAAGTGTTAACCCTAAAAATAGGATTCATCACTCCATAATTTGGGTAAGCAATGATAAGTACTGTATGTTGTTGAACAAAGTTCCTGTAGCAGTGAGGGGATTGAAAGGGAGAAAGAAATGAAAGGTTTGAGCACATGATATGCATTTGACAACCAAACAGCAGTTTTAAATTTGGGCCTCCTGGTTTCACCCAACTGAAGGATTTTCAGGGGTAGTGGTTTTTGGTAGGTTGGAGTTTGTTTGTTTTAAATTCTACTTTGTTTTGGTTAGTTGTGGGGAAAAAAACCCTGGTTCTCAAGAATAACAGGCTGCAGAACGTGTCCCTAAGCAAACTATTTTTAAACAATGGCATCAAAAGCATTCTAGCTATGGATTTCCCTTCCAGCATTCTAAGCAGTAACATGGTTTTTCCAAAACCAGATTCCAAAAGTACAATATTTTACTCTCCACAGCTTTGATTTAAGAAATTCCAACAATTCCAAGCTGGTGTGAATGGCCTGATTATGACTTCTTGCGTTAGAAAACTCTAAAATGTTAATATGAGGTTTTTAAAGTGGCTGAAACAGAACAGCAAAGCACGTTCATGCATACATTTTGAATTAGATGGAAAAATTGTGAGATTAGGAAGTATTAGTCATAATTGCTCAGCTGTACTATCTCAGCGTTATTGTGAAGATAAAATGGAAAACTGTGTGAAAATTAGATTAATAACAGCAAAAAGAGCAACATAATACAGGGAAAAAAGAATGACTACTTGTTGTCTTGTATTCGGATCTTTTCCCTTATAAGATTGAGATTGTCTTGGCAACGTTTCAGCGAGGTCTCATTCGCCATCCATCTTCAGGCTGGATTTTGGGATATATATATACATTTTAAATAAAAGTTCTGTTGTTGAACATTTCAAATGAATTAAAATACATGCTTCTGGACAGAGGCCAAAAATAATGCTACAACCAAAAATATATTTAAAAATAATCCATAAAATAAGAGTAAATAATTGGATGCAGAACAGGCAATATAATGTATTGACATTATGTGTATGTAATCAATCAGCAGCTAATAAAAACAACCCAGAAGATCTCAATATTCTTGAAACTGATAATGCTTCCTCAAAGCTGGTAAAGACAGTTTTCTTTTGAGATTTTTGATACTAAATCCTGGATAAGAAAAACCAAATAATCAGAAGCTTTCTGTACAGTCCTTAAACTTCTGGGCCAAACAAAACAATACTGGTGTATAGTGGTTATTTGAGATTATCACTCTCTTCAAACAGCAGAATTACGTTTACTGTGTAGGGAGTTATCACCCAGCCCTCTCCCAGAAAAATGAAATATCCTAGGAAATATTGAAAAGGAAGAATATTTCTCTGGATGTGAAAAGAAAGAAACATATTTTAAAAGACAGAATAGCTGCCTGTAGCTTCCTGCCAATCCCCACTTTGTTAATGGGCCATTAAGAAGGCCAAGCTTTACATAATAAAGGCTTCTCGACTTCAGTTACAGGAAAGCATGATAATATTGGCCCCAACTGACCACATGGCATCTGAGAACTCAACCAAACCTGGATTCAAAACGCAGCCTAGAGAGTTGCCCCTGCATGGCCCTATGGGAGTCTGACAACCAACTAGAATACATTTCTTACATAGGAACAGGAAACAGAGAGGTGGGACTGAGCAAGTTAGAAAAAGCCTAGAAAGCCCCTCCCTCGGTCCTTCTCTTCCTCTCCACCAACATTGAAGCATGCGATCACCTTTTCTGTTCAGGGCTCAAGCCATGTGGTCAGTTG